CCCGCTCCGGTGCCTTACCCCGTCCTGACCGCCGGCGCCGGGAGAGCCGCCGTCCTTGCCGCGGCGGGTGATGAAGAAGGCGGCTCCCGCCGGCGCCGGCTCCTCCCCCGCCGCCTGCTGCTGTTGAAACCCGCCGCGAAGTTTCATCATGCGCCTCCCCGCCCTGCCGCCGGGCCGGGGCCTGTCCTCGCACGCCGGGCCGGCGAGGGGAGCTGAGTTCCGGCCCGGCCCGCGGCCCCGGCTCCGGGCCCCGGCTCGGGGAGCCCCGCGGCAGGCCAAGAGATCCGGGGTCTGCCACCTCCCCCGGACCGCTGCGAGGAAAAGGACGCGCCGCCGGGCGCTGCTGGGCTGCCGAGGCTGCCCCGAGTTGTGTCGTGGAAAGCCAGAAGAGCTCGGGCGCCTGCACGTGGTTGCCGTAAAGCTGCTGTATCTGGTTTGGGAGAGAGGAGAGCGCCTGCAAAGCTTACGCCTTTGGAAGCGTTTACTGAGGACTTAGGATTTTGCTGTGCAAAACTCGGTTTTGAATGATAGATGCTATGGGTAAAAAGGGGGGGTGGCGCCTCCCTGAACTTCCTTATCGGACGTTTTACCTTTGAGAGTGCTAAAAGTAAATTAAATTCAACTCTGAAGACTAGGATGTGAAGTGCTAAATATAAGCCTTAATTCTCCACCCATACTCTGAGGGAGCCATTAGTAGTAGTTTGCGTGCACTGCGCTTTCATAGCTAGCTTAAGTGGGCTTTGTGTAAAACTGCAGTGCTGTGCATAAGTTCTTCAAGACTGTCAGCAGTAAGTGTGGTCTGCGTGTAGAGTTTTAAAAGCACCTTTAAGAAGCCGTTAAAAGGATATTTTTCGGCTTTAGAAGGAAAATGTGTTGAAGCATCCCGTTTGTGAGAAGTAGACTCCAGCGCTGATCAGGAGTAGATGTAGGAGGTTTCTGTTCAGCACAGCTTCACCTGAACACAGGACTGGCCTTGGCAGAGGCAAGGCTTTGGGCAGCCTTGTGTACAGTCCTCAGAGCTGTGCACGGCCTGGAAGAGCAGAGTAAAAGTGCACGCCATGGCACGCTGAGTCACCGCTCACAGAAGAGTAGTGGTTGTGCTGGGAAACACCCTGCATCTTGCTTTTTTTCCAGAGATCTAAACGTCACAAACTCTGCATTTTGAAAAACTACAAGAAATAACAGACAAACATTGTATTAACCTAGGTTGTTTTGGTTCTGGGTTTGGGTTTTTTTTTTGTCAGAGACTTTTGTAAACAGCTTTCTTTACATCTTCTTTTCTCCACACAGAGACAAGAGTTTGGGATAAGTCTGCTTAGGCTTAAATTGTTGTCTGGACATTTTCATTTAATGAACAATTCCTGGTTCATAACTAGAGCTCATACAGCGCTTTATGATAGTAAGTCACAAACCATTTGGTAAAATAAGAATCTTTTCATGGAGAAGCTGAAGCAGGGAGGATGAGAAGTAACTTGCAGAAAGTGGCCTGGTAAGGCTGGGCAACCACAGCGAGGGAAGAGTGAAACCTCTTAAGTCCTCATTAATGTCTGCATCCTTAGGGCATGCTGGGTAACAGCCACATATTTATCCTCCCCTTTACTACCACTTCTAAAAACTGGGGATAACTGCTGCATTTTACTATGTCTTCCATGTTTAATCCCCTATTTTAATGGAGTTGATGATGTTATATATGGGACTAATGGCAGAAATACCACATACAGTCTGTTTTTAAACACTGGCAATGTTACTGTTTGGTAGTTACAGTAGCATAGGTAATAACTGATACCTCCCTGTCCTTTTCTAGCCTTTTCTCTACTATTACCAAGTAGCCTGTTACAGTCCCTTTACATTAAGTGTCATTCTTCAATATCCAATATTTCAGCTTATCTGCAGACAGCACTACATGTAATTACACCCCAGTCTCACAGCTCTGCTCTTCTCAATCACATCTTCCCTCGGTTTTCTCCTTCCTGCAGATATTACTATGTATAATAGTTTTTCCAAAGCATTTTCTTCTCCACTATACTCCTTTAAAGCTGATTTTTCCCTCCGTTTTTGCTGAGAGGAATTTAAGTTGATACTAGGTGGGTGGAGAGAACAGGTTTGAACATAAATACCGGGTGCCATGAGTAGTTAAGAGACTTTCTACTTTGTTGTATCATCTGTTTAGTACCTGAGAGTAACCATCTGGCCACAGGCTAAAGCCACTTAAGAATGGCTGAAAAACACTGTAAGAAAATTCCTGATTAATTAATTAAGAAGTACTTGGATTAGTTTTGTTTCTGATCAGCTGAAATGAAAGGCTAAGAGGTTTCTCTGAAGGCAACGGGTAAATGAGTAAATGAAAGGTCAAAGTGAACAGGTAAATGAGTACAATGTAGAATAAACTGTTGCCGCTGCAGGACTGTTACACTGAGCTGGTCACTGTCAGCTCAACTCTCAGTTGAGCATTGCTTGTGACTGCTCTGTGCTCCTCATTTTTCCCCACTAAAGATGAATACCTTTGCTGCATCCATCGGATGTGGTGCCACCAGCACGCCTGGAAGACTGAAAATGTGTGAGTTGTGCGAGATCCATGAAATCCATTTGGAGAGGAGGCAGAACGGAAGGGAAAGGTGAGAAGCCAGAGGCTGTGATTAAGAGAGACATACAGTGAAGGTCTGTTTCTCTCACAGTGATGACGTACTCTGCAGTTTCTCGGATAGGAGTTGAACACCCTTTGTTGATGGTGAAGGTTGCCATGAGTGGATTCATGGACCAGGTCATTATGATGGGCAGGACTGTAAAACATCAGAAATTCCATTGATGTGCCTCAGCTCAGCCTTGCACCTGCCCTTTGCATGGCAGTCGCTAGTGAGTAGCAGTGTAACACATGCATTCTGCACCCTGCTAGAACATCTACGTAGTCACGGACCGTTAAAGATGCTTCATCACCAACAATTTGCGGGATAGTAAGGATAATGATGAAACACTTTCTATTTTTGAAAAATGGTAGATTTGGGCTGTGGGAAAGAGAGGGATGTATCTTGTCTACACTCTCATGACTCCCTTTGCATCCAGTATCCATTTTTAGTTGGGACAACTACTCTTCATCTGGCCTTGAACACATCTGAAATTGCAATAGCAGTACTTTTCTTTTCCTTCTCCAGTCTTAACTTGTGTAGTAATGGAGTCATGGGAATAGGCATCTTCAAGTTTCCAGATGCCTCAAACTATCCTTTTCCCAACTCCCAGTGACTAAATGTTCATGATGTAAGCTGGGCACAGATCACCAAAAATCCTGTATTTTCCAGCTTGAATTTTTTTCCTATACGTATTTGCTGCAAAAAACTTTGCTACGCATCATTACAGGCCCAACTGAATGGAATATGCTACTACTCATTTGTTTGTGTTTGTCAGCATCTACAAATTACTTTGGTGTTGAAGTCTGTGTACTATATTTTATATGTTTACATCTTCTATTCCTGAATGCACACTAATAAGTATCTAATGTGGTTCTTGGGGCAGGGAGTTAGTGCACAGCTTCATTTGTGCCAGGAAAGACTGACTTTAAACAGACATTGCTCCATGATCCACCATTGTAGCGATAACAGAAAATCAAGTGGCAAACAGCAAATGCTCTTTTGGCAGCAGCCTAGTATATTTTGTAGGATGGGGACTGAGCTTGAAAGCAGAAGGTCGTTTCTCCTAATGGAGCCACACAGAAACATCCTTGTACCATGGTGGCATTGGCAGCCCATCACACACTGGGAGAGATAGTGGTGAGCAGGTCTCAGGGGAAGGTGGAGATCAGTTCCTTCTCCCCAGTCACATGGGTTGACATAAATAACGTATCTCATACCCTGGCTATCTTTACAAATACAAAGGTGTGTTGGATACCTGTACATTCACCAGGCAATAGTTGTAGTGCCAGGTGTTCTGGTAACAGATCTGACATCTGAAACGTTTGGTTTTATGTCAGGGATATGCATATGCAGGGAGCAAAGGCTTTTTCTTATTTTGGTTTTCCTTCCCCAGGAGGATAGTAACACTGTGCTCTTAAAGTTTGAGTACTTGCACTCAAGATCTCAGGCAGAACCATCCTTTAATCCCTGTATCTGAGTGGGGAGAAAAAAAGTGAAAAGAGAAACTGTCAAATTCAAAAGCTGTTTGGAGATCTGTAGCTTGAAGCAAGGTAGGCTCCCGTTTGTATCACTTAGTCTGCCTTTTACCCAGTGGGACTGCACCACATGCCAGAGAACTTTGAGCTGGCAGCTTTTAAAGAACTTACCAACCTAGCGGAGCTGGTTGTTCCTATAATTTTGAATATCTTTATTTTTCTTTTGTTCCTCTCTGGTCTTTTCTTTTTCTTTGGAAGACATTTAAAGGACATGCAGACTACTTGTCTCTCCTCCAGACAAAATCCTCTCTCTCATGGTATAAAAAGTAGTTGTCTCTCTCACTGGGAGTTCCTATTGCTATAGTCTCTCTTATCTAATCCTTTTTCTTTTCTTTCTACTTAATTATGTTAAGCTTCAAAACAAATAAGACTTGCTCTGGCCTCGGAGTTAGAGGTCACAGCACTGAAGCGTTAAAAGAAAATCTTTTCTAGAGCCCAGGCATTCCGAACTTCAGTAAAGTACTAGGAAGGCACGTCTAGTGCAGCAGCGAGAGAGGACACAAAGTAAGATGATTTGTTATTGCCTCCACAAAAGCCTAAGCATTTTGCACTACTGCTGCATCCTTTTTTTAACATCCTAGCCCTTCTATTATCCCCTGTGTTTCTTAGCACAGACAAGAAAGGGTTGTTGAAAGAGCTGTTGGCCATACAGTGCACATTGCAGGCATGGCATATGGCATACCAATAGCTCTATTGTCAGTAGGCCCAAGACCACAGAGGAATGAAACATTGCTGACTTTAACTGAATAGTGGTCTTGGCTAATGAGAAGGAATCCAGTGTAATTTATTCTCTTCCTGAGGAGGGGGAGAGGGGAAAAAAACCCCACAAAACCGAAGAACTATTACGTATGTTTTTTAACCACTTGCAGAATAAGAAAGAAAAATTGTTGTCTGATATTGATTCTATAACATAAAGTGGAA